TAGCAAAAGCAATCCTAGGCGCTCCCGCACCCTGCACCATGGAGCACCCTGAGGACTCGGAGGACCATGGGCGACACTGCTGACTCCGGTGGTTTGGGGCTTTCAGCAGAGTGAGGCCAGGCTCAGCGCTTCCACCGCTGTGGCTCATGGGCAGAGTCGGCCTTGTGGGCTGGGTAAGTCGTATGCCTTCGGTCCAGCGTTAAACCAAAAAGATGTCCCTATATGATGACCTGGGAGTGGACATCAGTGACTCAAAAACAGAAGGCTGATGCCAAAACTTTAAGTATCTGCAGTCTCACCTTCAGGTGAAGAAGGCAGCTCTCACTCAGGCAAAGAACCAAAGGACAAAACAAAGTACTGTCCTTGCACCAGTTATTGACTTAAAGCGAGGTGGCTCTGCAGATGACCGGCAGATTGTGGTTACACCACCACATGTTGCAGCAGGCCTGAAGGACCCTGTTCCCAGTGGGTTTTCTACAGGAGAAGTTTTGATTCCTTTAGCTGACAAATATGATCCTATGTTTCCTAATGACTATGAGAAAGTGAAACGCCAAAGAGAGGAATGACAGAGACAGCGGGAGCTGGAAAGAAAGAAGGAAATAAAAGAAAGGGAAGAGGGACATAAAGAAAGACATGAAGCTAGTGGGTTTTCAAGGTGACCAGATCCAGATTCTGATGAAGATGAAGATTATGAGCAAAGAAGAATGGGAGGACCTGCTATTACACCACCTACTTCTCTTGTAGAAAAAGACAAAGAGTTACTCTGAGATTTTCCTTACGAAGAGGACTCGAGACCTTGATCACAGTCTTCCAAAGCTGCTATTCCTCCTCCAGTATATGAGGAACAGGATAGGCCAAGCTCTCCAACTGGGCCCTGCAACTCCTTCCTTGCTAACATGGGTGGTACAGTAGCACATAAGATCATGCAGAAGTATGGCTTCCGGGAAGGCCAGGGTCTGGGGAAGCATGAGCAGGGACTGAGCACTGCGTTGCCAGTGGAGAAGACCAGCAAACAAGGCAGCAAGACCATTGTAGGTGATGCCGCTGAGAAGGGTGAATTTCAAGATGCAACAAAGAAGTCAGATTCAAATCCATTAACTGAAATACTTAAATGTCCTACTAAAGTGGTCCTACTGAGGAACATGGTTGGTGCAGGAGAAGTCGATGAAGACTTGGAAACTGAAACCAAGGAAGAATGTGAAAAATATGGCAAAATTGGCAAATGTGTGATATTTGAAATTCCTGGTGCCCCTGATGATGAAGCAGTATGAATATTTTTAGAATTTGAGAGAGTTGAATCAGCTATTAAAGCTGTTGTTGATCTGAATGGGAGGTATTTTGGTGGACGGGTGGTAAAAGCATGTTTCTACAATTTGGATAAATTCAGGGTTTTGGATTTGGCCGAACAAGTTTGATTTTAAGAACTAGAGTCATCTCAGAGATCTTTAAATGAGCTGCAGACTGAGCAAAGACAATGATCCTTAAAACTTCTGTGTTCTGGGCCAGGGATTTAGCTCAGTGGTTCTGGC